ATTTGATGGAGTCACTGAGTTCCCTAAGTCTATTGTCTTATTCCATCATTCTTCTTTCTCTCGTTTGTTCAGTGTCTTTGTTTTCCATTCTCTCTTCTGTATCACTAATTCACTCCCCTGCTTCTTCCAGTCTGCTCTTCATTGCATCAGGGCTGTTTCCAATCTCAGTTATTGCACTCTTCATTTCTGACTGTTTTTTTTTTTTTTTAACTCTTTTCTCTCTGTGGTGAGGGCCCCCATGAGGTCTTACAGTGAATCTTGTCTTAAGCCCAGCGAGTATCCTTATCATTGTTGCTTTCAATTCCCCATCAGGCATGTTACTTAGATGTGTTTCAGTTAGATCTCTGGCCGTGGCCTTATCTTGGTCTTTTCATCTGGGATGAAAAAGGCAGAGGCTTAACCGACTGAGCCACCCAGGCACCCTCTACATTTTGTTATAATAAAGACACGTCACTGTTCTTGAATGCTGAAGACAGAGGTGGCTCTATAGTCAGAACACTAGCAGATGAGCTGATACACGGGCCCACACATGTAGCTCAAGCCCAAGGGTTGGTGGTGGACCTTTAGAGCTCAGAGCCCAGAATACATCCCATGTTCACTGTGAGCATCATCCAAAATAAGTATGTTAGTACCATTCTGGTGGCCTAATCTCATGAGAGTCCATGAGAGAAACGTGGTACCATGCAGTAAGTGCTGTCTGTTTGCAATACTAGAACCAGACCTGGGGACCTGCCCAGATGGCACTGGCCCCAGCTAGTCTCAGGCACTGGACAGAGACAGTTTAGAGGCAGCCAGCCACACGGGGCCTGGCGTCCCCACTCGCGGTGTCTTAAGGGCCAGACCAAAGGAAGTGGTCCCTCTCGGGTAGCACAGGCTGTAGTTGGGCTTGGTACTCATCTGGTCTGACAGCTTTGGTCCTGGAATTCTCTGTGCTCCTGGCCTCTCAGATCTCCGTCTCCCCAGCAGCTTTATGATGCCTCCAAATAAATAATGTCTTTTATCCAGTTGTTTAGTTGATCTTAGCAGGAAAATTGGTCTGCTAAAAGCTTCTCTGTCATCACCGAAAGCAGAACTTTCTCCAGTTAGATTTTTGTTTCTCATCCAACATGTAACACAAACCAGGTTGAGCACAGGCATCCTTTTTTGTTTGTTTTGGTTTTTTTAAGATTTTATTTATTTAAGAGAGAGTGAGAAAGAACACGCCTGAGCAGGGAGGAAGGGCAAAGGGAAAGGGAGAAGCAGGCTCCCCGCCGAGCAGGGAGCCCGATGCGGGGCTCGATCCCAGGACCCTGGGACCATGACCTGAGCTGAAGGCAGACGCTTAATGACTGAGCCACCCAGGTGCCCTGCAGGCATTTCTTGAACAGGGAAAATGTTCCCACATATCTTCCTCATCACCCAGGGATGGCCATTTAGATGTAGTCATCACGTGTCATTACAAACTCAGGACATTTGAGGATGAGGAAAAAAGATAGCTTTCAAGACCTAAGTATAAAAGGTTCTATGTAGGACACGATAATGATGAATACCAGATTACCTGGGCGAGCCTTCCTTGCCCAGGGACCAGGTGGCTGCCATTCTGTGATATTACATCTCCACACAGAGGTCTCTGAGCAGGGCCACTGTGCTGCCACTCTTGCCAGCTGAAGTTCTCAGCCTTCTCAGATGTCACTGATCTTGTGGTGGCTCCATCTGAAGTGGTCATCTATTAGAGAAGGTCATCAAGAAGGTGTGACCACCAGGTGACCTGTGAGCTGGAGCCCAGCAATGAGAGGCCCCTCACCCCCTCTCCTGTCCTTGGAATGCCCGCCATTCCCACGGTGGGAGCCGTTTTCCAGGATGCAGCCTCAAGAGAGGGATGTGTTGTTGACACTACTTGGATGGTATACGTGACTAAACCCTGTTAAGGCCTCTATAGAAAGTTTTAAGAGTCTGGCAGGCAGACACAGAGATCTACTCATCTCACGGCCACCCACGACAAGCCTCGGAAGTTCCCTTGCTTATTAGAGCTGCCATTTGCCAATCTGGAATGGGTTGCCTCTTTCTTTGGTCTCCCCTTGCTCTCCATGTATGGGGGCCAGTTTGTGAAGCAACAACTGGTGAGCCGTCCCAAAGTCCGAACAAATGCACCAGCTTGCAACCCTCTCGGGAGCTCTCAGGGTATAATCTGAAACTGGCCTCTGGTACTCCGAGGGCAGGGAGAGAACAGAGAGTCAGGCCACACCAGCTTAGTATGTAGCCGGTTTAATAAGCAAAGGAAACTTACGTACAGGATTTGTCTTGGGGAGAAGCAAGATGAGTAGATCCCGGCACCTGTCCAGCAAATCTTAAAACATTTACGTAGAGGGTTTGACTGGGTTCATTCAAGTATACTTGCAGGTGTTCTCAACCCCACATCACTATCTCAAGGCTCTGTCCTTAGAGCAGCCTCTGGGAGCGGGAAAGGCAAGCGGAACCCACGCTTCAAGGACAGGGCTGGGGAGTAAGGAGCCTCTGATCGACCGGCTCACATGTTAACTGTCAGACACTTCCTCTTGATGACTTTCTCCAGCAAAATGGGCCTTGGGGAGGAAGCATCCACAGGAGAAATCCTGAGTTGGCCATCAACCTCTCGGGGGGGGGTGGGGGGGGTCCAGATGTTAGATGCTTGTGCACTGCCATGTGAGTGTGGAGATGCCCCATAACACTGGCCGGTTTGATGTGCTTGCCTGAGGAACCACGCAGAGTGTACTGCAGCGGAGAAGGAAAACAAATGGCAGGCGCCTGGGTGGCTCAGTTGGTTAAGCGACTGCCTTCGGCTCAGGTCATGATCCCGGAGTCCCGGGATCGAGTCCCGCATCGGGCTCCCTGCTCGGCAGGGAGTCTGCTTCTCCCTCTGACCCTCCCCCCTCTCATGCTCTCTCTCATTCTCTGTCTCAAATAAATAAATAAAATCTTTAAAAAAAAAAAAAAAGAAAAGAAAACAAATGGCAGCCGCAGTGGGCTGGGCACTGCTTGAAACGGTTCATCTGCCCAACTAGAGGCTGAAGCGCGAATTAGAAAGTTGGGAGAAGCGCGGAAATTAGAGAAGAACATGCAGTTGTCTACTACTTTGCTAGCTTCGGGGCTGGCACACCAGGTGGGGGAACAGGATAATAAGTTGGAGACCTTAGCATGCTGTTTTGCGAAGCTATGAGGGTGCAAGCTGCTGCAGATTAAGGTCTGAGTGTTTTTTTAAAAAAACATTTCATTCACTTACTTGAGAGAGAGAGAGAGAGAGCACAGAGGGAGAGGGAGAAGCAGACCCCTGCTGAGCAGGGAGCCCAACATGGAGCTCGATCCCAGGACCCTGGGATCATGACCTGAGCCGAAGGCAGACGCCTAACCGACTGAGCCACCCAGGCGCCCCAAGGGTCTGAGCATTAGTGGCAAAATCTGATAAGGATGCTGAGAGGTGGAATCCCTGGGAAAGTGAGGAAAGTGAAGAGGAGAGGAGGGTGTTGTGGTAATTGATAGTGGAATAGACGAAGTGCCCCCATGCCATATGACCCCTGATACAAAGGAAAATTTTAAGTAGTAATTGTCCTAGACTTCTGATAATAGAGAAATATGCCCCAAAACTCCTAGGAGAAAACTTGGATTCTTTCTGTCCCTTGAAATTGTAAATCTTACTGTGTCTTTGAAAAGGAAACACCCCAGGAAATAACGAAAACACTGTCCATGATTGCCTGAGACTGAGGAGAGAAAAAGGGAAAGAGGCTTTTTAAAATACTACTATAGAACTATAGCTCCCTTGCCCAAAATCTAGCTCACAGCTTCCGTAAGATTACTTGTCAAAGGCAAATACAAGTCTTCAAATCTTCTCCACAAATGTTAGTGAAAGGCTTTAGCCATGTAAGCTGGTAACCTTAACTTGTTCCATCTTGCAGAGATAAAATTTGGATTCAACTGTTGGCTATAAACTAGTGAGTTTTGCGTTGTACCTGATTCGTGACTAAAGTTTTGGAATGAAAGCTATGGAGGCTCTGTGCCTCTATGTTTATGTTTGTCTGTGGATATTAGGCTATGAATAGAGGATTTCCTACGTCTGGAGGATATTGCTAAAATCCGTTTGTAAAAGAGCTTGATTTAATTGGCTTAAATAAGTTTTAATATTAATAGTGGACTTATGTAAAACTATAACTTAATTTTGTTTCATCTGCTAGAAGGACAAAGTTTTCTTGTACTATTGGTCTGTTCTTCAGGAAGTTGTGAGAAGTTTTTCTTTACCTTTTAAGTAACTTGCCTAGAAAACAAAGATTCTGTGTTTTATCAAAGTAATTTCTGTGCGCAGCGTTGTCTTTAGCATATCTGTGATTACTTAAGAAAACAGTCCTCTCTATTGAAAGAGCTAAGTTTTTTTATAACTATGTAACTTTCTATATTTGCCTTTGAAGTCTTTGTCACTGATTAAATGGATAACTAAGTATTGTTTCACAGTGATCTATGATTCTGTTTAATGAAGTGTTTTAAATTCCTTTGATATTTTAGACAAATGTCATAAAAACAAATTCTGAAGTCTTGTTTTTTTAGAGATTTTATTTATTTTAGAGAGTTGGGAGGGGGGAGAGGGAGATTCTTTTTTTTTTTTTTCCATCAATGGATAGATCGGAGAGGGAGATTATCTTGAGCAGACTCTGCCTGCTGAGCACAGAGCCTGATGTGGGGCTCAATCCCACGACCCCAAGATCACGACCTGAGCTGAAACCAAGAGTTGGATGCTTAACCGACTGAGCCACCCAGGCGCCCCAAATTCCAAAGTCTTTTTGACCTCAAACTAACTTCGGGATTTTCTAGATGTTCCCTGGAACATCTCAAAAGATGTGTTCTCTCTCCTTATAAAAGAAAGATATTAAACTAATTAGGCTTATTTGATATGTTAAATTACATGGGAAGCATTGTCAGATAAGAAGTGATGCTAAACTTTCATTAGGTTATATTCATATAAATATATTTATTTAAGATTTTTATTTATTTGTCAGCACATGCAGGGGGAGCGGCAGGCAGAGGGAGAGGCAGACTCCCCGCTGAGCAGGGAGCCCGATGCGGGGCTCAATCCCGGGACCCCGGGATCATGACCTGAGCCGAAGGCAGATGCCCAACCGACTGAGCCACCCAGGTGTCCCAAATATATGTTATATTTATATAAATGTAAGTGTCCCAGAAATTGTATGAAATTTCTAAAACTCTGATATTTCCTGGTATAATGTTATCAATCATAAGTCTAGTTATTTTTTTTTAAGATTTTATTTATTTATTTGCCAGAGAGAGCGAGCAAGCACAAGTAGGGGGAGCAGCAGGGGCAGAGGGAGAAGCAGGCTCCCCGCTGAGCAGGGAGCCCGATGCAGGGCTCGATCCCAGGACCCTGGGATCATGACCCGAGCCGAAGGCAGATGCTTAACCAACTGAGCCACCCAGGCACCCCTCTAGTTGTTATTTTTTTAAGGATGTCACAGAAATAACCAGATTTCCTCCAGATCTTCTCACCACTTTCCACAGACTCCTCCTCTCCCAGCAGGGCCTTAAGAGGCCTATCACTCCCTTCCTTGTCTCCTGAGCCATAGCAGCACTTTCCTTGGTATGTCTTTTGCTTAATATGCCCCTTTTTATATAAATAAAAGATACATTAGAGTTGTTCTCTCCGAAAAAAAGAAAGAAAAAAAATTTCCTTGTTCATTGCATTATCATGAACTCTCATCAGATCTTTATGACTATTTTTAAGTCTTTGGTCATTTATAGATGGTTATCCTTTTACTGTAATGCTTTGGCAAAAGTGTTCCTACAAAAGTGCATCATCTTCAAGGGGATTCGTGGAAGAGGCTCTGACAGGTTCGGGTTTCTGAGAACAATGATGAATGTGCCTTCATGTGGGAGGGGCAACAGTGGATCTTCCAAATGCTTCCCCAGGGCTACCTGCACAGCCCCACAGTGCATCATGGGATGGGAGCCCGAGAACTGTCCCCGTTCTCTTTCCCCACATTGGTAAGATGGGCCCATTGCACTGATGTAATGTTAACGTGAAGATTTGCTTCTGCTGCGGGACACCCTGAAGGCTTTGCTGGAGCATCTGTGAGGGAGAGGATGGGCAGTGAACCCACAGAAAATTCAAAGCCCAGGCATCACTGTAGTTTGGGGAAGTTGTTTGGGTAAGATGTGCATTGTCTCAGAAGCTGTGACTGATCAAGTACCTACCCAACCGCTAAGAACGTGAAAGAAATGCAGGCCTTTGTAGGAATTTGGCGGTTTAGGAGGACTTTTATTCTCCACGTGGCACGGTGCCTTCATCCTTTATACTGCCTCGTAAAGAAAGGGCACGCGTGGGCTTGGGGATCAGAACAGCAGGCCCCCTTTGAGAAGGCAAAAAATATTAATGAAGCAGATGAAAACTCTGGGCATCTCCCAAGCCTGTAAGGCTGCCATTTGAGCTAGATGTGACTCCAGAAGGTATGGGTTGGGCACTATGGCAGAGACAACAGGAGGAGAGACTACCCCTAGGAATTGGGGTCCCAGCCCTGGAAGGGGGCAGAAGCCCAGGATACCCCATAGAGAGACAGCTTCTAACGGTACACAGCGCTCCTTCAGGTCGAGCCCCTCATGAAGGAAGAATACATCATGGCAAGAACTTCCCTCCTTACCAAAGGGCGGGTTGAGAGTACGTTCCATCTACCCACCTCTGCCATGGTTCAAACCCCCCACTTTGAAGAAGTTCCAGGCCTATTGGCAACAGAAGCGCACCCTGTCTGCCAGCCCATTGTCTCTAGAAGTACGGGGGCTACAGATCCTTTGGAGTATGTAGATCCTCCAAATGCCCCTGCCTCTATTCCTGTGGCCACTTGCAGCCCGTGGAGTGGGAGCGGGGGCAATTCCTGTTGATGCCTAGAAACAGGAACAAGCCACGGGAGCCATAAAGCTGAACTCAGAGCGGTTTGGCTGGTGATCACTCCTGAGCCCCAGCTGCTAACCCTTTGCACTGACAGTTGGCCGGTTCTAAAGGGATTGACCCCGTGGCTTGGACAGTGGGAAGCTGAGTGGTGGGTGATCATGAGTAAGCCCTCTTGGGGTCAGGATAGGTGGAAAAGCATTTGGGTGCACGTTCGAGAACCTGAGGCAGTCTTCCCTGTCTTCTACATCCTAGGTCGTGAGGCATGGACACCCCCTGGCAGGCAGCTGCTGCCCCAGCGTGGGTACAGGCCCTAGCAACAGATCCTTCAGTAGATAAAACAGATTAGGGGCAAAGGAAGACTGGCCCCCATAGCACCTGTGTGGGTGGTATATTGCCCTTGAGATGCAGTGACTTGGTTAATGCAGTGACAGCACGTCCTGTGTGTTCTAAACCGTGCCCACGACAGCTGCTGATGGAGTCGGAACATCCACGGGAGTTCCCAGCTGGTGAGAGATCGGCAAACTGATGATACTGGCCCCCGCCTCCCTCTTGAGTCAGGGTTCTATATATGCCTCGGTTTGTATGGCCACTGCATCTGGCCTGACCCAAGCTTGCCCCAGTCACTGTGCAAACCAGGCTGCCACCATTAGGGGATTAGAGAAACTGCGTACCATGTACGATACCCTCACTGACCAGACAGTGATTGGGGGTCACAGTTCAAAGGTCATGATGCGCAAGACTGGGCAAAAGAACATGGCGTTGAACAAAGCGGCAGGGTTGGTAGAAAGGAAGGATGGAATATTAAAGCAGCAGATTAAATTACTAACAGGTAAACCCACCTCGGCCCGGTGTTGTAGCCTTTTTTTTTTTTTTTTTTTTTAAAGATTTATTTGTCAGAGAGTGAGAGAGAAAGAGAGAGCACAAGCAGGGAGAGTGGCAGGCAGAGGAGCCCGGTGTGGAACCTGATCCCAGGACCCCAGGATCATGACCTGAGCCAGAGGCAGATGCCCAACTGACCGAGCCACCCAGGCGTCCCTGTTGCAGCCTTTAATACATTTGAATGATCAACCAGGGGCCACTGCTGAGACACCCAACACTATGAAGGTGTGGAAGTCACAGGAGATGGCCCTTGCCCTGACAGTCACCATGGATCAACATGCTGTGCTGCTGAGAACACACCTGGGGAAGACATCATCTGCTGGAATTTGCAATGGGGCATTTCACCAGGATGGGCGAGGGACCTCACACCCCCTGGTAAGGGGGAGCTACTCTCTCCTCCACTGGGATGCCATCGTCCTGCTGCAAGCTGGACTTGTTGACATGCACTCTGCCTGGAATGGAACATGCCCCATTGAAAGAGGGGAGGGGGAGGTCCTGTCCCTAGTCCATCTAGGGTTCTGACAGTACTGCCCCCACCAGCCAAATACATGGCATGCACAACCTGCTCAGGTTCCTAAGGCTTCCAGTCTCCCTTTCCTTGAGGCCAGCTGGGCACATTTTCTTTTCCACTGGTATGATCATCTGGCCGCCATCTTTGTCCCCTCCGTTGGCCTGGAGGGTGTTATCGCACACATTGAAACCTCACTAATTCACCCAACAAAGTGATAGCCAACAGACCCTTCCTTGTATTGAACACTGAAATGTCTCTGATGAGCAAAATTGTCCTCCAAAATAGGATGGCCTTGGACATTATAACTGCCTTGCAAGGAGGCACCTGTCCATTATCCAAACAGAATGTTGTGTGTTCGCACCTGATGAGTCTGCTAATGTATCGTCTTTATTAAATCGCACGAGGCCCCAAGTGAACGTCTTGAGTGACCCAATCCCCAGCCCATAGGAATTAATAAATCGGTGGTTTGGGTCCTGGGGTTCTTGGTGGAAAAAACTGTTGCTCACGTGGGGAATTATCTTCTGAATCTGTGTTCTCTCTCGCACGTGCTATCGATACCTCTTGCTGGCTGATCAGGGCCCACTGCAGAAGAGGCGCACGTGTGAGCTTGTAAGAAGCAATCACAAGGGCTGGGGAGTTGGAGGAGGTCAGCGAGAGGGCGGGACTTCCAGTTCATCCGTGAGCTGGACCCAGGCAATGAGAGGCTCCGCACGCCCTCTCCTGTCCTTGCAATGTGTACTCTGTCCACCCTTCTCACAGTGGGAGCCATTTTCCGGGATGCAGACTTCAGAGAGTAAGGTGTTGTTGAGACCGTCTGGCTGGGGTATGTGACTGAACCTACTTAAGGCCTCTCTATACTTTTAAGATGCTGGCCAGCAGGTGTGAAGATCTACTCATCTTGTAGCCACCCAAGACAAGCCTCATAAGTAAGTTCCCTTATTAAGCTTGCCACGTACCAATCTGGAACAGTCTGCCTCTTTCTTTGATCTCTCCTTGCCTTCCATGTACAGGGGCCGGCTGGCAAACCAGAATCATTCCTGGGTGATGAAAAGACATATAGGAGCTCCTTGCCTGTAGAGTGCTGAAAATGTTCAGGAAAGATTCCTTATCCCTTTTGGACCCTGGAGATAGTCTCTCACCTCCCAAGGGAAGTGGCCAGACTTTGCAAGATATAATTTGGGCAGCTTTGTTATGTAGTCCATAAAGCTACCCTTTTCTCAGTCTTCAGAGACCCGCCCCCCCCCAAGCCCAAGCAGGTGCCTTAAATCCTGAATCATGTCCTCTTACAGTTGATCAAGTTACCAAACCAGACCTGATCTTCACGTTTGAGAGAGTCTTGGATGGCAGAAAAATCTAACGTTGCATAGGTGAGTGAGAACTAGGAAGATTGGGGATGGTGGATGGAAGGTTTTATCTGGTGAGAGACTTGACATGTGATCGACATATTTTTGGTCTTCCTTAAAGGAGAAGCGATAGGCCTCTGGTGATTATAGGACATGGGCGTGAGCTCCTCAGTTTAAATGACCTTTCCACATTCCCGTGCGTGCGCCCCCCCCAATATTCTTTGCTTAGGTTTGAGAAAGAACCATGCCTGCCTGCCTTTTCCTCAAGATCTCATCCCTGCCTCTTTCAGCTGGAACAAGCCCTTCTGAGTCATTCTCCCTTTCCCTGGCCTTTTCATTTTCCAACCCTCCAGTTGTCATCAATTCCCTTTTCTTATGCATTCAGACATTTATAGATCCGTCCTTAACTTTGTGACCTTTGTTTCTTCTGCTTTCTTTTCTCCTCCTTGTGAGAAGCTTTAAGCTGTTTTCTGTGTCTCCCAGTCAGATTCCACCCCACCCACATGTAAACTCCTCCTTTCAGGGATCTCCATTCCCTGGCCCTATCCATTATTTGTTCTTCTCTGCAACCCCCCCCCCCCAAATTGAAGCTATGGTGTTTGTCTTCTAGTTGTTGTCAGAAAGAAAAACAATTTGTGTTCTAGCTTATATTTAGCAGCCTTGCAAAATTCACTTAAGTCTAACAATTCATTTACAGATGCTTTTGGATTTTTCTGTGTAATGTCATCTGTAAAAATTGGGCGCTTTATTCCTTTCCAGTCATTCTTTTCTCTCTCACTGTGTATCACTAAGTCCTCCAGTACAGCAGGCATCCTAGTTCTCCTTCCTAGTCTCAGGAGGAAAGTTTTTACTGTCACCATTTTTCCTTTTTTAATACACCCTTTATCAGACTAAGGAAGTTCTCTCCTCTTCCTAGTTTGCTAAGAATTTATATTATGAATGGGTGTTGAATTGTATGAGATCCCCTTCTCGTTAATTACATTGGCTAAATTGTCGATTTTATTGACATAAGGTTTTTTTCATAATTCCTCAATTTGTTTAATATATAAAATCTTTAGTGAAGTCCATTATATCACTCCTAATTTGAAAATTTGTGTTTTCCCTTTTTCTTGATCAGTCTGGGGTTTCTCACATTTATTAACCGTTTCAAAGAACTCCCTTTGATTTTTCTCTTATTGCCTGTCCTCTAGAGGACAGGAAAACAAATGTGATGGAGGAAACTCCTAAGTGTTAAGCACAGATAATAAGCTAGGAGCTTGAGATGTATCAAAATTCATAAGGCGTGAAGTATAAATAATGAGTAAGCAAAGTGCTTTGTAGGCACCAGCAGAATTCGTAAGATGTGTTAAATATAGTTAGCAGGTAAGTTAGTAGGTGATGGGATATGCTCAAGATAAATAGAATAAATGGAATATATGATGGAACAAACAAGAGTGGTACTTGGAGATAGAAAGGAATGCAAAGACTAGGTCATAAGGTATCCTACCACCCAAACCAACAGCTACATTTTACTTAAATTCACCACCAGTTGGTAACACTTGGGATGGTTCCATTGATAAAACCCAGGACCACGCAGGAAGCTAACTGGTGAGCTACAGTGGAGGCAAGCAAGGGGATGTCCTTGGCCCTGGGCATCCTCAGTCTGATTGGCCCCTTGTTTAAACTTCAACTCTGGTCCTCATCATCAGGGAGGCTGATGCAAGAGACACAAAGTGAGAACAGAGATAAGGGCGTATGAACATTACATAACAAAGGAGTCAGGAAATGTGGTCCTTCACCCTCTTTCCCCTTATTCTAAATGTTAACTTACCCATCTCTTTCCGTTTGCTTCTTGGTGGGTTTTTAAATATATGGATCTTGTGTTTTTTAAGTGACAATAAGCCACATGACTGGAGCATTTTTATTTTGGTCTGTGAGCCTTCCTATTCTGAGACCTCCGGGATGGCTTGCCTGGTAGCATACTGGAGTCCATCATTCAATCAAGGGAATTTCTCATAGTAACCATTCCCAAAGGAGGTGAGAAGGGATCCTAATTCACAGTTTGGAGATTTTTCCTAAGGAAGACAATAGGAAGTAACTGGTTACAATACTGGGGGTCCAGTGCTGATCTGGGTGGTCATAGGGCCAATCAAGGGTCACAGGGCTGATCTTAGGGATCTGAAGGTAGTCTCGAGGGTCCTGGGAAACAGGTTGAAGAGCCATCATTATGTATATCATTTTAGAGGTTTTAGCTAAAGCAAGACAACTGGCATAAATAATGGGGGACAGGACTCGGCTGGCCTATGGGCACAGCAGAGCTGATTTGGGGGTGGTATCAGGGTTATACTTGTGGTGGGGCCTCTCCCTCTCCCAGTGTATACAAATAAGGACACGGGACAGGGAAGGGACGGGACATTTGTTGAGCACGGTGTCCCAAGCACGGGCTCTTCCCATCGCATATACCTCTCGTCACCATGGGGTCCTCGGGGCAGCTCCTCTTTATGCAGAAACCCGTGACCACCTCCTGCCTCCTCCACTCAGTCCTCACCAAACCCTCACTGCCAATACCATGAGATCCTTCATCCCTGAAACCCAAGACCCTCCAGCCCAACTCCACAGAGCACCCTTCACTCCCCAGATCCAGCGGTCTGTCCCACGTCAACCCATACTCTTCCTCTTCACACTTGCTAGTGCTCTGCCATTTTGCCACTTGTCTGTTCTTCACTGTCTGCCCCATTCACCATCGTTCCCACTATGCTTCACATCCCAACTTACTCTGCTCCGTCCACATTTCCAACATCCACTCTCTGCCCATTCACTCCTACTACTCGCTCCCACTTTCCCCAGCATTACTCACATTGGCTTCTACTTTCTTCTCAAGCAACTCACCCCACTGGCTATTTACCCTTTTTCCCTACTCTTCCCTGTTCGCCCTCATTCTGCCCGCCCCCATCTCCCCCCCACTCGGCCCTTCATTACCCTCATCTATTTTCCCGATTCCGGTCCATTCATCCACATCCTGCTGTTCAACCCCCACCCTTTCCCCACCATGGTCCATGCCTCACTCACTCCCACTCACACACATGGCCCATCAGACTGCCATCTGTGTCCCAGGAAGCCGGTGTCCACAATCAACGTGAAAAGGCAAGATCTGACCGCTGTCCACACCGCCCTTCAGGCTGACCTCTGACGGTCCCGAAACCCCCAGGGATATTATCGGCAGGAAGAGGAAATGCTTCATTTCTGGTGCCTTTGGGCATCCTCTCAGCCTGCACCAGAAGCAAGTCCTTTAGCCCGACATTTCTTCCCCAAGCTTCCTTCTCCCTGGAAAGGCACTCAGTGTGACCTGACTTAGAGAGCTCATAAAAAGTTAGCCCACTCCTCATTTTCTTGTAGGGTAATTTAGGGGAAAAACAAGGCCCGGCAGGAGACAGGAAGGGTCTCAGAGGTCTGACTCACTTACCTGTTTTGTTAAATCCAAACACTGACTCTGCCCCGGTTTTACACAGCTTGGGTTCCCCAGTTCCACCAGAGATCTAGTCCCAGGGAAAAGCCACAGAATCACGAGGGCCACAAATATGGTCACATAGTGGGACCTCTTACTCTGGGGCAGACGTGCTGCTACCTGGTCTTTGGCTGTGTCCATTCGGACCATGGCTCTTGATAGGTCACCAGCAGTAGTGTGACCTAGGGGGTGAGCTGCCCAATTTGCCTGCGTATTCACGCTTTTATCCCTTACAATAAAAATACGCATACCGGGGGGCGCCTGGGTGGCTCAGTCGTTAAGCGGCTGCCTTCGGCTCAGGTCATGATCCCCGAGTCCTGGGATCGAGTCCCACATCGGGCTCCCTGCTCAGCAGGAAGCCTGCTTCTCCCTCTCCCACTCCCCCTGCTTGTGTTCCTGCTCTCGCTGTCTCTGTCTCTGTCAAATAAATAAAATCTTTAAAAAAAAAAATATGCATACCCACAAACACAAAACGAAGTAATATAAATTATTTTGTTAAAATATAGAAAGACAACAGTGGGCTTTATTACAAGATATTTTCAGAGGTCACAGTGCACACTAAATTAAGAAATGTATTCCAGTCTCAATTATTTCAGGTTTATGTGATGTGGTCCCAGGTGACCTAAGAATCACTTTATTTGGCACCCTCAGGAAAGCAAGGCCTGTGTGCCTTTGGAACCGGCTGGATATCCGTTGTTCTGACAGATTATTCTATTTATTATTCACTCAAAACATTAAACTCCACATTGAACATCTGTGTCTTAAATGTTAGGAAATCCTGCATCTAGAATCTAACTTCATTATCACAGCAATGGAACAGAACATTTGTTTTAAAACGTTTTATTTGCTGAAAAGGTAGTACAGCCACAGAGCACGGTTTTCAAAAAGTTATGGAAGGACATACAGTTGTCTCCCAATGCCATGCCCCCAGCCACCCACTCCCCCTGCCCTTTCCCAGAGGTGATCAGGGTTCTCAGCTGCTCATGTATCTTCCCAGAGATAGTTTATGCATATATGCTCAATTATGTACTTGCAATTTGTTCTTTTTATATGTGAACGGTAGCATATTCACTATCCTGCACCTTGCTTTTTGCACCTAATAATGTATGGTGGAGATTGTCCCACATCACTACACACACGATGTCCAAGTTCTCTTTATATATATATATATATAAAGTTCTCTTTATATATATATATTCGAATATTATATATATATATTCGTTTTGTCTACCTAGCAGGTTTGCTGTATGAACATACCAGGATTTCAGGATCCAGACCCGTCATCTGGACAGCTTCCAACCTTTTGTTTTTATAAAAGTGCACCAGTGAATATCTCTGTGTGTTCGTCATTTTGTACACTCATGAGTATATACATTCCTAGAAGTGGAACTGCGGGTCCAAAAGCCATTGCCTTTGTGGTTTTCATTACTTTGGAATCATTTTTATTTGAATAAGAGTTTTTCCTGGACTTGCTGTTTCCTGGAGGTTCACGTGGGGTAAGAAAAGGGGGCCACATTCTAGGCAGATAAGTTTTTTTTCTTACAACTGGTTTTTTTCCCCGTTTGGTATTTCTTTTAGATTTGACTTCTCCAGAGTCCGTAAACCGGGGCAGCTGTTGGGTTCTTCACAAGGAACACTCCCTTCTCTTGCCCCAGCCCATCGAGTGCTCCTCTCATGAGTGCAGACTACTTTCTACAAATACGGCTTGTCTGAGCGATTCCTTGTGGAGGCCTCTGCCAGTCTCTCCTCAGACCCCAAATGGGTCTGGGAGACATCCTACCTCCTACCTGCCAATGCCCTCTGTTACTGTGGTGGATGTAGTTGGCCTTGCACTCGGGGGATATCCTGAACCTCAACTAAGAGTCCTCGCCAGTGCGGCCCCACGTGTGCAGCCTTGAGCATTCGCTTCGAAATCTCCTGCCCTGGCGCTCGATCCCCTCTGCCTCCAGCAGTGCGCTCATCAGGGCTTCCGCTATCTCCTCGTGTCAGATACAGAGATTACACTTCCGCTTTTGCTCCTTGTAGTGTTTGGATGAGGACTGAGATGAAAAGAAAAGAGACTGACTTTTACTCCCCATATTTAAACCAGAAATCAGAACATACTTTTAAAATGTTAATTAAATGGACAAAACTTTCCCTCCGTGAACGTTGACAGGCACCCTTGATCTACTCTCTAATGTGCAATGAGCTTTGACTTCCGGCTGTGGCCCTTCCCGTGGGCCTTCTTTCCCGTGTGTGTTCTCTGATGTACAATCAGGTTTGATTTTTGGGTAAAGGCCTTCCCACACTCTGCACACTTATAGGGTTTCTCTCCGGTATGAGTTCTCTGGTGTACAGTGAATGTGGATTTTTCTCTGAAGGCTTTGCCACACACAGAGCACGCGTAGGGTTTCTCTCCTGTGTGTGTTCGCTGATGTATTATGAGCTGGGACTTTTGGCTAAAAGCTTTCCAACATACGGGACATTCATAGGGTTTCTCTCCTGTGTGAATTCTCTGATGTATAATGAGCTTGGACTTTTCTCTGAAGGCTTTGCCACATTCGTTACATTTATAGGGTTTTTCTTCCGTATGAGTTCTTTGATGTATAATGAGGTATGATTTCTGGGAAAATGCTTTTTCACATTCACTGCATTCATAGGGCTTCTCTCCTGTATGACCCCTCTGGTGGAGCATGAGATAGGATTTCTGAGAGAATGCTTTCTCACATTCATTACATTCAAAAGGTTTCTCTCCTGAATGCGTTCGCTGATGTACGCCAAGGTTTGATTTTTGGGTGAAGGTTTTCCCACACACATCACATTCATAGGGTTTCTCTCCTGTATGAGTTCGCTGATGCACGATGAGGGTTGACTTCTCATTGAAAGACTTCCCGCATTCAGTGCATTTATGAGGTTTCTCCCCTGTATGAGTTCTTTGATGTATAATGAGAGTTGACTTATCACTGAAAGTTTTCTTACACTCATTACATTCATGGGGTTTCTTTCCTGTATGAGTACTATGATGTATAATTAGATCAAGCTTCTGTATGAAAGATTCCCCACATTTAGTGCATTCGTAAGTTTTCTCACCCGTGTGGGTTTTCTGATGGACAATGAGGTTTGACTTCTGAGTGAAGGCTTTTCCACATTCATTACATTCATAAGGTTTCTCTCCTGTATGAGTCCTGTAATGTATGATGACGGTTGACTTTTCTCTGAAGGCTTTTCCACATTCTGGACACTCAAAGGGTCGCTCTCCTGTATGACTTCTCAAGTGTATAATGAGCTGAGATTTTTGGCTAAAGGCTTTTCCACATTCAGTACATCCAAAGGGTTTCTCTCCCGTATGAGTTCTCCAATGTACAATGAGGTGTGACTTCTTGCTGAAGGTTTTCCTACACGCGGTGCATTCGAAGGGTTTCTCTCCATTTTTAATTCTCTCTTGTAGACTAAGCCCTTTCTTCCGCCTGAGGGCCTTCCCACACTCTTTATATCCGTGGGGCTTCACTCCAGGAGTTGTTTTCTCATACTCCGTATGGAAGAATAATTTTGCACATCCATTATCATGTTTCTTTCCTACAGAGCTTCTGGTAAATAAGTCTAAACTATCTACCATATTTCCAAATGGCTCATGTTTATGGGACCTTTGTATTGAAGCAACAAGGTTTGAATTCAGAGGAAGTGCATTTCCAAATTCATTATAGTCATGGCCAGTCTTGGTGAGAATTGTTTTCTTGTCAGGGAATCCAGCTTGCATCAACAGATATCTGTCTTGGTCATCCTGGTGCTGTCTCTCAATCTGTTCATCAATTTGACAGGCTGCTTCTAAAAGGAAGTACAATAAACCATTTTTGTAACTTAACATTATATAATGAACCTTCTTTAAAAATTCCCTACCATATGAAAGCTGATACTATTATCTCATTTTATCTGAGCTCCTAGAGAGGATCTTGACCATCAAATCCTGTTCTTTTACTAAACTCCCACCTGCTAAGCTTTTTGTTACCAAGAACAATCTTACCCTGACATCTCAGTCTGTCTTACCTCTACTTTTACATCATCTCTGATTTCCATCAACTCTGGGGACCTTATCAACCTTTATCTTCATTTATCATATGAACTCCTCTAAGTGTACATGACTTATACTATTTCTAACTAAGTAGAAATGCAACAGTGTGGTTAGTGGACTCAAATTTTACAACAATCCTGAATCCACATTCTTAGTGAATCAGAGAAAGATCTAGAATAACCTTACAAAAACAAAGAAAAACTCAAAGATCTTTCCCCAATCTGGATTCATCCAAGCTTGCATTCACCGTTCTTCAACACCACCTTCTGCTCCTGTCTACACTATTTTCGCTAAAAACTATGACTGTATTAATGCCAAACCCTTCCTCATGTTCTATCACCCACATAGCCTAGTCTCCCATATTTTGCCATATTCAAAATCTAGGTAACTTTCAAGAAGCAATTCAGTCTTGTCTTTTTTTTTTTTTTTTAAAGATTTTATTTATTTATTCATGAGAGAGAGAGAGAGAGGCAGAGGGAGAAGCAGGCTCCCCGCAGAGCGGGGAGCCCGATGCAGGACTCGATCCCAGGACCCTGGGATCATGACCTGAGCTGAAGGCAGACGCTTAACCAACTGAGTCACCCAGGTGTCCCTGCAATTCAGTCTTTTCAAAGAAGCTTATTCTGATCTTCCTGTATAACTTTAATTTTTGTTAATTTGTAGTTATCTATACCACTCGTTTAGACAGTTAAAGTTGCAAAGCTTTGCCTTAAATATACCATATTCCATCAACTGCAAGATGCATATTATTTCACATTTTAACACATTTCTGAATCCAGATGTAACTTATAATCAGTGGCATGTCATCAATTAATTGGTGGCAATTTTTCTTAGTGGTATGTATTAAAATCAATTGGATCTTGAAGTCAATAAAATATGGTAAATACTTTTTGCATATATACCGAATTTTAATCATCTTTGTAGTTTACTTTTCACCTTTTCCTAAAATTTTGTGTGAAAAAATGTACAGAAAAGATGAAAGAGTACAAAAACTACTCATACTATTCATACTACCACTCAGATTTAATAGTGATAACATTTACAATTGTAATACTGAATTTTAAAATGGACCATGTTCCTACGACATCCTTAATATCATTAGCAAAAAACTAGTTCTTAGGCATGAATATCAGAATCACAGAAAAAGTTTTTACAAAATACATCTGCTGGGACCACCCAAGCTCCACCAACCATCTACTAAATCTGGACGTCGTTAGATGGTAAGCAGCAGCATGGTTAGGGCCATAAGCCCTCTAGCCCAGGCTCAAATCCTGGCTCAACCATTCACTTGCTCTGTGACCTCAGCAACTTACCTAATCTATTTGTATTTTATTTCCCACCTGGAAACAGGAATTATAATAGTGCCCACCTAAATATGTTAACAGGGATTAAACAACTTCTAACGGGGCATGCATGGCACACAGGAAGTACTTTTTTTTTTAAGATTTTATTTATTTGACAGAGACATAGTAAGAGAGGGAACACAAGCAGGGGGAGTGGAAGAGGGAGAAGCAGCCTTCCCACGGACTGGGGAGCCCGATGCGGGGCTCGATCCCAGGACCCTGGGATCATGACCTGAGCCGAAGGCAGACACTTAACGGCTGAGCCACCCAGGTGCCCCCAGGAAGTACTTTCAACTGTTTACTAGAACAACTGATGCTACTACTACAATAACTAACCTGGTTAAGAGCCACTATGCTACTACAAAAAGAAAGAACTCAATATATTTAACATGCTCTTGACCATTAAGTGAAAAAAGGTGAATAAAACTGTACATAGTAGGCTACCATTTTTTAAGGAAAGAAATACATGAATACCTATTTATATAGACTCATCATGTAAACAAGGGAAGAATATACCTTTAAATTTTAATAAATGGTTACCTACAGAAGGAAGGAAGAGAATGAAATGAAGGGAAAGAAACTGAACTTCTTTAAATATACCTTGTTTTCTAGATTCGACTTTGGAACCAAGTAAGTGTTTTATATATTCATAAAGCAAAACTGAATTTAAAAGGATTCCATAATAATAATATACCCTCACCTGTATTTCCAAACAACCACTGCTAAAAAGTCTTGATTCTCAATGGCATCAACATGATTACCTCAATTGATTCAAACCACTATCGACAGCAGCCTCAGAATAATACTAACAATATTACCATCAGATGTAAGATTAACAAAAACCTTTAAGCCCAGAATTTGATTTGGAAATACCAATTTTTTAAATGACGGGGAAGTATCAATTTGAATACATGATATATTTTCTCTTAAAAATCTTTTTTTTTAAGATTTTATTTATTTGAGAGAGAGAATGAGAGAGAGAGAGCATGAGAGGGAAGAGGGCAGAGGGAGAAGCAGACCCCCTGCCGAGCAGGGAGCCCGACGCGGGACCCGATCCCGGGACTCCGGGATCAGGACCTGAGCCGAAGGCAGTCGCTTAACCAACTGAGCCACCCAGGCGCCCTTAAAAATCTTTTTTACGGGGGGCGCCTGGGTGGCTCAGTCGTTAAGCGTCTGCCTTCGGCTCAGGTCCTGATCCCAGGGTCCTGGGATCGAGCCCCGCATCGGGCTCCCTGCTCGGCGGGGTGGCCTGCTTCTCCCTCTCCCACTCCCGCTGCTTGTGTTCCCTCTCTCGCTGTCAAATAAAATCTTGGGAAAAAAAAAAATCTTTTTTACAGGGCGCCTGGGTGGCTCAGTCAGTTGAGCGTCTGCCTTTGGCTCAGGTCATGCATCAAGCCCTGCATTAGGCTTCCCCGCTCAGCAGGGAGTCTATTTGTCCCTCTGCACACCACCCCCCCTCCCGCCCCGTTCGTGCGCGCACACTTGCGCGCGCTCTCAAATAAAACCTTTTAAAAAATTGTTTTTACGTGGTTTCTAGCTCTGTCAATGTTTAAAAGGCCTAGAAACAACTCCCTAACATCCAAATTGTGGTCTCAAAAAACTATTGCCACAAAAAAACAAAACAAAAAACAAAAAAACAGGGTTCCTTGGAGAAATGGCTGATTCCAAGCCAGAAATGGGAACTATATAAAAAGCCTGGAACATCTTGTAACACCAGAAAGCAAAGACGCTACCAAAGACTCAGGAGCCAATCTGAAGGGGTTTCTGCTCACCAGAGATAGGGCAGTTTGATTCATAATGAGGATAAGGCAATGTTTGATTAAAATATTAAAAAAATATTAGTCACCTTTTGAATGATGCTACAAAACCAACTCATTATTTTTTAGGGGATTTTTTTTTTTTTTAAGATTTTATTTATTTATTTGTGAGAGAGAGAATGAGAGACAGAGAGCACAAGAGGGAGGAGGGTCAGAGGGAGAAGCAGACTCCCTGCCGAGCAGGGAGCCCGATGCGGGACTCGATCCTGGGACTCCAGGATCATGACCTGAGCCGAAAGCAGTCGCTTAACTGACTGAGCCACCCAGGCGCCCCCCAACTCATTATTTTTTAAAGTGGTAAACAAATGGGAAAACACACATAACTGAAATGGAATTCCTGGAACTAACATATAAGCAAATAACAGATGAGAGGCAATCCTCTTTATAGAAGTATTCCAGCTAATCAACAAGGCACGATAGAATATCACCATTTTGCAAACATTAATGAATACATACAAGCAATAATCACCGAGAACTCATAACTACAATAGACAACCAGGCACTGCATGCCTTCTGATGTCATAGCAGCTAGGAAGTAAACTTGCTAAAAGAAAAAAATAAAACCCTGGATCTGATCAAACTTCAAAATCTAACCACCAATTTACAAGAAAAAAATAAGGGACAGAGGAATATGTTAAATACCATAGGGTACTTAGCAAAGTTCAGAACGTGGGAAACTAAATGACAAATTAACCAGTTACTTAAAAAAAATAAAAGGGGGGGAAAAAGATAGCTGGGAATCATTTGTAGGTTATGAGAAGAATCCAAGTAGCTATGAGAACATTCAGCACCCAGATCCTGATTTCTCAGTACCATTCCCCATTAAAAGGAAAAAATCCTTGGAGAAGCTGCTGATTCTAGGTCTGAAACAGGGAAAGTACAGTGTGAACCTGGAATATATTTTTGTGCTAGAAAGTGCTCAAAGAATGATGGGGTCATGTTAAGAGTTGGAGGAGCCAGCCCGAAGGGACTCCTCCTGGACAAATTGAGGACAATTTGAACATCAAAATGAATAATGACAGAAGACATTAATGCATTATAACACACTGAAAAATAACAATCTGAGTCCATACTGATACTAAAATTAATTCATTAATGGGATGGGGCAAAAGAAGAGTGCCAACTTCTAAATGGAGAAGGAATGGGAAAAAATTCGCCCTTTTTCCAACCATCTTATAAATTGATTCAGGCAAAGAATCCTCTGTGAATGTTAAAACGCTGGGTAAAAATTTTTGAAAATGGGATATTCATCATTTGGCAGTTCCACAAAATGTTAAACATGTGGTCCAACAATCCCACTCCTATGTCCATACTCAAAAGGAATTAAAGCCTTCACCTCCACAAAACATTCTACATGAATGTTCATAGCAGCTTTATAATGGCCAAAAAGTGAGATCGACCTAAATACCCATCAGCAGATAAATGGCTAAACAAAAGTGGTGTATCCAGACAGCAGAGCATCATTCCACCAGAAAAAGGAATGAAGTCCTGATACATGCCACACCATGAATGAACCTTGAAATCATGCCAAGTGCAAGAAACCAGACATGAAAGGCGACATTTTGTATGGTTCCATTTACATGAAATCTCCAGAATAGGCAAAACCATAGAGGCAGAAAGTGGCTGCCAGGGGATGGGGGAAGGAGGAAATAGAGACTGACTGGTAAGGGGTACGGGTTTCTTTCTGGGGTGATAATGTTCTAGAATTAGGTAATGGTGATGGTTTCATAACTTGGTGAACATACTAAAAATCTCTGAATTTGTATACTTCAAAAAGAGCAAAGTTTAGGGTCTGAATTCTATCTCAATAAAGCTATTTTTAAACAAAAGTAAGATGTTTTAGGAGAGCAAATCTGGTCGAAAGATCTCAACTGAATGGAAACAGGTAATCCAACATGGACTTAGAGCAGTAGTGCCTACACCTGTGACTCAGGTGGGCCTGGCTTCAGATAAAGCGGTGAGAAGTGAGAATGGGAGAAGTGGCAGGGCGTGAGCGGGGACTGGCACTTACAAGACGCTTATCCACCGGGAAAAGGAGCTATGCAGAAACTTCTGGGTGAGCATCAACTTAAGGGGAGTGGTCTGGTGGGTGTGGGACAGGGGCGAGGGGTGTCACTCTTATGTCTGAGGTATTCATGTCCCTGTCCAACAAGATCAAAGGGTCACAAGCTTTCTCCAGACATTCCTGAAAGCCCTTTCAGAGGTCCTCACCCATGGCTGACAAGCTGGCACCTCCTGTCCCTGTCGTCTGAGTCAATGCCACTCACCTGGAAAGCTCCAAAAGGAGATTTTTGTTTCTGCTAGGCATGGCTCTTCTACCTCCAATTTGAGGATGAGGTCTGGTTTCGTCACCTGTGGCCCTGCTGATGAGAAATGACAGTGATACCTCCTGGATCTTCAGAGCATCTGAGAAAGAGGGCAGTGGGGTCTGGGGCAGCATGAGAGACCAATCACTTGACACAGTGGTCCAATGGTCAAGTCGAACCATTCACCTGAGTTTTGAGTTCACAAACACCCTGTTAGGAAACTTCGATCCCTGGAACTCAACGTCCAACTTTTCAAGCAGTTCAGAGACCTTACAAGTTTTCCAAACTGAGAAAGGAAAGGCCCTCTATCAGACACAACAATCATAAGCAGCAAAATTACCTGAGGAAGCCATTCTTACCCACAGAGACCAGGCTGCTGTAGGTCTCCAGCATCACTTCTCTGTACAGAGTCTTCTGTGGAGGGTTCAGGTACTGCCACTCCTCTGGGGTGAAATCCACAACCACATCCTCGAATGTCACGTGTCCCTGTAATTGCACATTCCTTTTACTCTAAAATACTGACCACTGGGTGATGAGGATGAAATGTAGGGAACTGCTGATTGGGTTCCCAGTTCGTGATGATGACTTAATACAGGATGCCTACCTTGTTGGAAAATCACAAACCATGGCAGAAAAACTATTCCATCAACTACACGGAATATTCCATAAGTGTATAGAATATATGTAAGACAATGTGGTATTTGCACAAGGATAGACAAACAGTCCAGTAGGACTAAAAAGAGAATCCAAATGCCATATGGGCACCTGAGTTATGATAAAGTTGACACTGCAAGGCAGTGGGGAGAGGATGATCTTTTCAAATAAATGTGGGTGGACTACTGGATATCCACAGGGGGCAGAATTTAGCTACTAACTCACCATACGCAAAAATGAGCTACAGAGAAATTGTAAATCTAATGTGAAAGATAACACAATAAGGTGCCTAGAAAACAGTACAGGAAAATGTTTTCATAGTCTTGGTGTAGGAAAAGAATTCTAAAACAAGATGTGAAAAGCGCTACTCATGAAGGAAAAGATTTATAAATGTTACAAGATTAAAAGTACAACAGTCAGGGAAATACAAATCAAAACCACAATGAGAGAGAGACCACCTCACACCTGTCAGAATGGCTAAAATTAACAACACAAGAAACAACAGGTGTTGGCAAGGATGTGGAGAAAGGGCGGTGGGAATGCAAACTGGTGCAGCCACTCTGGGAAACAGTATGGAGGTTCCTCAAAAAGTGTAAAATAGAGCTACCCCATAATCCAGCAACTGCACTACTAGCTATTTACCCAAAGGATTCAAAGATACTGATTTGAAGGGATACATGCACCCCGATGTTTACTGCAGCATTATCAACAATAGCCAAATTATGGAAAGAGCCCAAACGTCCATCGACTGATGAATGGATAATGAAGATGTGGTCTATATCTACAATGGACTAGTACTCAGCCATAAAAAAGAATGAAATCTTGCCATTTGCAACGTGGATGGAGCTAGAAAGTATTATGCTAAGCAGAATAAGTCTGTCAAAGAAAAGTAAATAACATAATTTCACTCATAAGTGGAATTTAAAAAACAAAATGAATGAGGAAAGGGGAAAACGAGAGAGAGAGAGGCAAGCCAAGAAACAGACTCTTGACGATAGAGACCAAACTGCTGGTTACCAGAGAGGAGGGGGTGGGAGGATGAGTGAAACAGGTGACAGGGATTAAGGAGGGCACTTGTGATGGGCAGCGGGTGTTGTATGCCAAGTGTTGAGTCACTCTATTGTGCGCCTGAAACTAATAATACACTGTATCTTAACTAACTGGAATTTAAATAAAAACAAAAAAATAAAAGTAGAACAGTAAAAAGGCAAGCTTTAAATGGGGAGATTATCTGCAACAATCAAAAATGATAAAGGGATCTTATCTGGAACATATAAAACCCCTGCAAATCGGGGCGCCTGGGTGGCTCAGATGGTTAAGCGTCTGCCTTCGGCTCAGGTCATGATCCTAGGGTCCTGGGATCAAGTCCCGCATCGGGCTCCCTGCTAGGCAGGGAGCCTGCTTCTCCCTCTGCTTCTCCCTCTGCCTCTGCCTCTCTCTCTCTCTCTCTCTCTCTCTCTCTCTCTGACTCTCATGAATAAATAAATAAAACATTTTTAAAAAACCCTGCAAATCAATAAGAAACACAAAAACAACACCAAAAAACAGAGAAGAGATGTGAATATGTACTTCACTAAAAACAAAACCCAAATGGCCTATGAGCATAAGAAAATGTACTCAACCCAATCAGCACACAGGTAAATGAAAATTTAAGCCATGCTGAGACACTCCTACGCCCCCACTAAAAAGGTTATTAATTAAGCAGACTAAAATATCATAAGATTGTGGTGAAATGAGAACTCTCACACTTAGTAGGAATATATACTGGCAGAGTTGCTTGGGGAAATTGACAGTGTTTACTAAAGTTAATGATTTGCATACATTATGATGCAGCAATTCTACTTCTAGGTACACAGCTTAAAGAAAATCATGCATATATGCTCTAGAAAACAAGTACAGGATGTTCACAGAAGCACTACTTCTAAAACTAAAATGTGGAAAAAATGCAGATGTCCCTTAACAACACAATGGGTAAACTGTGGCACATTCAATGGGATCCTGCCTGGTGATGAAAATAAATGAACTACAAACCACATATCCAACACAGGTGAATCTCACAGATGTACCGATGAGCACAAGAATGCAGACACTGGAGTATATCCTGCATGATTCGATTTATATATAATAAGAGCACAGGCAAGGCCAACCTATGATGTTAAAAGTCAGGAGAGCAATTACCTTTGTGGGTGGTACTGATTGGGAGAGGGCAAGAGTGGGGATTCTGAGGTCCTTGTCCTGTTTTAATCTTGACCTTTATACTTAAAAATTACTTTCACCAAAAGTGCAAAGTCAGTTCAAGGGAAAATGGGAGTTCCCATTTCAACAAACGATGTTGGAACAATTGGATCTACATATGCAAAAACAAAGAACTCCAGCAAATACCTCCCACATGTATAAAACTCAAACCTCAACACAGATCGCAGACCTAAATGTAAAATCTAAACCTATAAAATTTCTAGAAGAAAATATAGGAGGGGCACCTGGGTGGCTCAGTCAGTTAAGCATCCAACTCTTGATCTCAGCTCAGGTTTGATCTCAGGGTTGTGAGTTCAAGCCCCATGCTGGGCTCCACGCTGGGTGTGGAGCCTACTTACACACACACACACACACACACACACACACGAGAAAATCTTTTTAACCTTAGGTTAGTCAAGTATTTCTTAGATGGGACAGCAAAATTCAAAAGACAGTCTTAAGAGAAGAAAAAGCCACAGAATGAAAGAAAATATTTACAAATCACATTCTGGCAAAAAAAAAAAAATTGTATTGAGAATATATAATGAACTCTAAAAACTAAAAAAAAAAAAGGCAAAAGAAAGATATTAAGCCAAAGAAGATATACAAATGAGAAATAAGCACATGGAAAGATATTTAACATCATTAGTCATGAAGAAACTGCAAATTAAAACCACAATGGGAGTTCGAGACGGCCCTGTGGGAAGACCAGGAAATCGCCTCCTTCCATGGACACAACAAACTTACAGCTCTATATAGAATAATTTTCCTCTAAAAAGGACCTGAGAACTAGATGAACAGCAGCACCTCCACAACAAAAGACAAAGAGACACAATGAGAAGGGCAGGAGAGGCAGTGACAGAACCTCATGTGGGACCCCACATCAGGAGTGGTGACCCCCCACAATCGGAAGAGATCACAAAAACATGGAACTCTACTCAAAGAGTAAAAGGACTGTGTCCCACATCAGCAACCTCCGAACCTGGGGGCCTGCACCAGAAAGCCCCCAAAATGTTTGGTTTTGAAAATCAATGGGGATTAAGACCAGGAGAATCACAGAATGTAGGGAACATAGAGCTCCCATTCTTTTTTTTTTTTTTTAAAGATTTTATTTATTTGACAAAGAGAGATACACTGAGAGAGGGAACACAAGCAGGGGGAGTGGGAGAGGGAGAAGCAGGCTTCCCAGAGAGCAGGGTGCCCGATGTGGGGCTTGATCCCAGGACCCTGGGATCATGACCTGAGCCAAAGGCAGGCGCCCCTAGAGCTCCCATTCTTAAAGGGCTCTCACGCAAAACCCACTCACCCTGATAGCCAGTGCAGAAGCAACAGATTGAAAAGTGCCTAGACCATAAGGGAGAGAGACACACTAATTTTTTTTCCTTTATTTTTAAAAGATTTTATTTATTTATTTGTCAGAGAAAAAGAGAGCACAAGCAGGGGAAGCAGCAGGCAGAGGGAGAAGCAGGCTCCCCGCAGAGCAGGGAGCCCAATGTGGGACTCGATCCCAGAACCTTGGATCATGACCTGAGCTGCAGGCAAATGCCCAACCGACTGAGCTATCCAGGCATCCCAAATATATGTTATATTTATATAAATTTAAGTGTCCCAGAAATTCTATGAAATTTCTAAAACTCTGGTATTTCCTGGTATAAAGTTATCAATCATATCTAGTTATTTTTTTTTAAGATTTTATATATTTATTTGTCAGAGAGAAAGAGAGCACAAGCAGGGGGAGCGGTAGGCAGAGGGAGAAGCAGACCCCCTGCAGAGCAGGGAGTCCAATGCAGGGCTCAATCCCAGGACCCAGGGATCCTGACCTGAGCCGAAGGCAGACACTTAACTGACTGAGCCCCCCAGCACCCAGCACACGCTAATTCTAAAGCAGCTGCCACAGAGACAGGAACTTACAAGGACTTTATCTGGGGATGGATGTGCTGGCCAACAGCATTTTTGCAATCTCATCCTAATTTGCTGGTGATGAAGCCAACAGGCACCATTTTTGGTGCCTACTAGCACCAGAGGGCATGCTCTGCCCATCCCATGCCATGGCGGGGCTGGGCTAGCACCCCATGCAACCCTCACAGAGACCAAGCCACAGGGAGGACAGGTGACCATCCCAAGCCCCATTCTCCTTGCTCAGTGGCCAAGATGCCAGCAGGCCCGGTCAGTGACCTGACCTGTACCTTCCCACATAATGTGGCTAAGCTGCAAATGGATAGGGTGAGTGCCCTGAGCCCCGCCCTCCCCATGCAGAGACCAAGCCACAGTGGAAGGGCAAGCAGCTTGAATCCCACTCTCCCCATGCAGCAGCCCAGCCACGACAGAGCTGGGCAAGTGCCCTGAGCCCTGCCCTCCCCACACAGCAGCTGTGGTCCTATCACAGCCAGCATGCACATGCAGCCCACACAAGGGACACCATAGAATGCCTGACTCTGGGGGCCCAGGGAGACTTTTGGGCCACATGGAACATTTCCTACACAAGACTGTTCCTTCAAGACTGAGGGAGGTAGCTGTTTTACCTAATACATGTAGACAAACACAGAGAGACAAGCAAAATGAGGACACAGAGGAATATTTTCCAAACCAAAGAAGAA